TGTATAAGAGACAGCCACCCCCATCACCCCCATCTCAGTGTCCGTGGCATAGAACTCTAAGTATATTTATTATGGGAAGTGGATGGTCATGGGAATTAGGTTCGTTATTGAATTAAAGTGATTGTAATAATTGTTTGCTGCAAACAATTCCGGATTGGGTGCTGTGTTAAGGGTGGGGGAGCACATTATTTTGGGGTCAACTCTTTCCTTAGATATACACTACTGTATGCAATAATTCGAGTAATAATAGACTTTTACTATTCAAAAATTACTATAATAATCAGGGTGGTTTCAGCTCGGTAAGAAAGAGAATCAAGCTTGAATGTGCAAACTGAGTGAGACTCGAGTCTCATAAGAACCGCTGAGTAGGGGTGAAAGAGGGCGAATCCCCCTTTATATGAATCCCCCTTAAACCTCCAGCACCTTGAAAAAATGTTTACAAACAATATAGGGGTGTACACCCCTTATTTCCCCCTAAATCTGCCACTAATAATAATATTTTTTTTAAATGTGTCTTTATTATAAGAAGGATTTTGACTGAATGTTAAAGAACTAAACTTTATTATTTATTTATATTATTATAAGTCATTTAATAATAAAACATAAAATTTTGAAATAATAGGTATTTCATAAATTGTTTTTTTTTTTTTTTAATTTTAATAGATCATCAAGATGTCAAGTTGCTGGCCATTTTGTAGAGAAGACGATGAAGATGATGAACCTAAAGTTGTCTCCGGCCCTTGGAATCACCGTATGGACTCGCAAGTTACACATTCTAAGAACACTGGTATCATTTGGAATAATTACGTGAATCCGTGGGAGTCGTGGTTAATGCCTGGGCTATGTGGTCTTCTTAAATGGCAGAAAACCGTTGTATGTAACGGTGAAGGTGATCATACCAACATTCCATCCGATTTAGCTGTAAGATATTGAATTGAACTTTGGTCTGCCAAGATTATCTATGGGGTGCACAGGGCCACGAGTCGCTGACATGGCCCCCAGTTGCTCCCATCACTGAAAATGTCCAAAGCAAAAAGTTACCTCACATCCCCTTATTTTGTGAACTAGCATCCCCCTCACTTAATCATAGATCCCCGCACGCTCATCAGCATCACCCCATCCCCCTATTTGAAGACTCCTAGATATACCATTAGCTTCATACATTGTTTTGTTGATTAATTGTTTTTTTTATTGTCATGTACTGTTCCATTCTCAGCTTATGATTACAATATTGTACCTCAAAATGTAGGTACCTACATACATTTCATTTTTTCATGTGTCAAAATATAATAAAACCAAGTAAATACCTATCCAGTATTTTAACGTTCATTCATCAATTTCATTTTATCATTTTAAAGTACATTAGTCCGAACAACAACTAACCCAAATTCTCAAAATATAGGCTCTGCTTTTTTTTAGAAATGATTTTGACCACAGAGTAGCCCAAAATACTTGTATTCTGTTTCAAAAAAGTCACTTTTCAAGTTTCAAAATATAAATTTGATATTATTGAATGTGGCCTATTAGCTCAGTAGTAATAATTTTATAAACCAAAATGCGCATGAGGTGAGTGATATGGTTGTCACTGAACCGTAGCATTATGCCTAGTCCTATACACCATTTTATTGGGCGTATTTTAAAATCAGCGCCATAAACGTCTGAAGACTCGCACATTTTCACATGGGGACATCTGACAGAGAAGCAACCAAAAACACTGCAGAAATGAAGCCGTACACCGGTCACAGATAAACGTTGGTAACTAGCAAAATGTCTCTGGATGTTCCCCAGTGGTAGTTCCCATGTTCTTGGAAATTTTCATTTCAAATTTGGCGAAAATGGTGTATAGATAAAAAATAAAAAAATTCTGCCTTACCGACCCAAATTTTCACATGCCACTGTATTTGTGCAACACAACAATTTTTCAGTCTTAATAAATCCACAAAAATTGTAATAATGTGAAATAGAATACAGTATATTTAAGTATATTTATATTTTCAGGAATTGGATTCGGTACTTCCTGTTAAATGTCCAAAGGGAGATGAGTGGCAGCAAGTCCCTCCTAAAGGCATGCGTGTAACTTGGCTAGGCCATGCTTCTGTGCTTGTACAATTTGATGGTATTAGCGTCTTAACAGATCCAATCTTCAGCAGTAGAGCTAGTCCTTTCTCGTTCGTTGGTCCCAAGAGGTATCGTGATGCTCCTTGCAATGTTGAAGACTTGCCGAAATTGGATGCAGTCGTAATCAGTCACGCGCATTACGATCACTTAGATGCAAAAAGTGTTTCTGACATTCATGCACGATTTGGCAATGATGTGAACTGGTTTGTACCGAAAGGTCTTAAAAAGTGGTTCAACGATAAAGGAATTAAAACGGTGGTTCATTTAGATTGGTGGGATGAAGTGCCACTGCCGAAACATGATGATGTTAAGTTTGTGTTCACACCAACTCAGCACTGGAGTAACCGTGCTCTGCATGATAGAGGCTGGTATCTTTGGGGCAGCTGGTGCGTGTTCACACGTAATCACAGTTTCTTTTTCGGCGGCGACACTGGATATTGCAATGGCTTCAAGGAGATTGGTGAGCGTTATGGTCCATTTGATTTGGCAGCCATTCCAATTGGAGCATGTGAACCTAGGTACAGTATTCTATAGCCATCAATCAGTGGTGTACCAATGAGTCTTGGGGTCAGGGGCGAAAACGTGTTCAGACACATATTTCAGTAAAGTGTTTCCTAGCCTAAAGACATTATTTATATTAAGGCTGAAAAGACTGCTTTAAAGACAATGTCGTTAAATAAAACAATTATATTGTGCAACTATAAACCATAGAATCAACTTTTATTTTCATGCACCCTGGGGCCCCATCTGGGGATTCGTCTTCGAAAGCCAATAAGCGTAACGCCATTACCATCAATACTTCTAAATAGAAAGCTGTACAGTATTTCTATTGGTATATCAATATTTACCTGAAATGTTTAATTTAATTTTTGTTCAGTTATTTTTCAACATTTGCTAAAGTTCCTGGATTCGAATGCCAGCATTTCTTCCCACAGTTATATAATAACTCCACGACCTTAATCTCAGAATAGTCACTCACTGGTTTGATAAAAATAAGATGTTTAAACAAATAATAATTCCAATGTAATGTATTATACTTTTAGGACTCCATAAATATTCATTATTTTTGTATATACAATATAACTAAGTTACTGTATATAGTGCATGCAAACATAATGAATGTATATGTATGTATTGATTATTTTAGGCATATTTGTTTACCCATCGTAGGTTAAGTCTCATTTGATTTGTATTTTTACCCATTTTTTTTTTTTTTTAAACATTCGGAATAATTAATTAATAATTTGTCTTTATCTCCAGATGGTTCATGAAACCACAGCATGTTGACCAGAAAGAAGCCATCCAAATCCATCAGGATTTAAAGTGCAGAAAATCTGTAGGGGTTCACTGGGGGACGTTTGTGCTAACGTATGAGGTGCATATGCAAATTCTTTTTATATTCATTACAAGCTTTTTTGTATTTTATATAGTATCGTAGTTACTCGGGTATAAGTCCACCTCGGGTATAAGCCGCTCCCCTACTCACTTAGTTTTACGTACCAGCCTTCCCTCGGGCACAAGCCCAGGGTATAATTTAAATGAGTGGCTTAGCTGACTTTTACATAATACTTTTAAAAAAATATATCAAATAATGGCATTGAATTATGCAGGATGAGATAGGAATTTGCCTTTTGATTGAAAAGAGGATTTCCCAGGTATAAGAACTATAGTATTTATAATATAAAAATATAAAATGTATGTATATTTGATATTGAGATCCTATTACTAATGATGTATTTTATATCTTTTAGTATTTTTTGGAACCAAAGGAGAAGCTCGTTGAAGAAATGCAGAATAAAGGTTTGGATCCAAAAGATTTCTTTACACTGGACCATGGAGAGATGGTGCTGCTCTTTTCTGAAGAAGTATCCACTCAAGACATTGAAGTTTAATCAAATTTAATCTATCATCATCTAACAAGAGGAGCTGGGTTTAGGAGAGGGGATTTCCAGGCATTAATGCTGTATGAAGGTCTATATCTCAAAGCGATATGTCAATGGATAGTTACAAAATGTTTAACTCCGGTTGGAATGTTTTTTTATTCTGATAAATAATGCCAACAAATCTGGATGAGGAAGAACACTATACTATTTTATAATATGACATTACATGATGAAAGTTATTTTATAAACCAAGCTATTTATAGAAACATTGAGAAAATTAATTATGATTAATTATGAATTGGTGTTGTAGGCCTTAAAACCTTTATGCATAGGGCCGGGTGTGTTTTAAAAGGTAGAGCTTTAAATGCTTACTACTGTGGCGGATCCAACGTATTTCCCTCCCCCACACGTTTTGCCTCTAGATTTTTTTTTAATGTCAGTATCAATATCATGTATTGAAATAAGAAAAATAGGCTCCTGATAAGAGTGATTATACTGCAGAAACTAGGTTAAAATTACTCTAAACGTAGTTCATTATGGGACAAGACCACAGCATGAACTGAAATGAACCTTAACACATTCCATTTTACAGAAAAATTTCACTACCACAGCATAGAGTGTATCCGCGCAAGTGCAGTACACTCAAAAATAGAATACAAACACAAAATATTTCAATAGGGCCTCTGGTCTTTTGGTAATATGCTACGGCGTTATCTCTACCCACTTACTTTTCTGAATTTGGTTCCCCCTGTTTGAAAAATGGATGGATCTGCCTCTGGTCTACATGTGTGTAATAATAGCATCAGAATTGTGTACAATATTATTGTGCGAGCATTGCTTCAGCTAGTTTATAGATTGATTCATTTTATTGCTGCAAAAATACTGAAATATATGTTGACATTTTTGTTGGACAATTTTTTGCTAAAAATATACCAAGGAAGATTATAATTATGTATGCATATTTTATATGTAAAATAGAAAAAAAAAAGAATTTTATAAGGACATATTATACAAAAAAAAAGTATTTGTAATACAAGTACATAATTTTAAATATAATACTGAAATAGTGTTATAAATATTGCAATATAGAATTATAGAATTTAAAAACAATAGTAAGCATTTGGATTCAAGCTTGTATAGAAACTTTGCATTATACCAAAAACAATCTATTAGTTATAAGTTATTATCATTTTTTTTATTGCTATTATCATGCATATTATATAATGAAGAAGGAGTAACTCTATTGTTGATCGTGTACCGGAAGTTAGCTATCATCAGGCATAATGAAATAAAATAAGATGTGTTAAAAAAGAACATTAACCCATAAGTAGCTTTGACCCCTGTAGACAATAATAATTAATTGGTTTTTACTTCAGTGAGTTAATAGTTGAGTTCTAATGTAAGAAGATGCATCTGCATCCACACATAGAAAAACTATATATATAATGATAACTATATATATAATGATATATATATATATATATATATATATATATATATTGATTTTTTATATCTTTTATTTTTGTAACTATGTATTGCTGACAAACTTGACTTTCTTGAGTATTATTAAATTTATATTTAATATTTCATAGATAAGTGAGCCTGTTATACAGTTCTATATAACAAAATGGAAGTACCCCCTCTTTTGATTAACAAGCGATGATTATTGTATCCAAGTATTAACTGCGGTGTTTTCCTGAATTAATTAGTATTATTAATACTAAATAGTAGTAGTATTATTTTTATTAGGTATTCTCAATTTAGCTAGCTTATTGGGGTTAGCTAATTTTTTAGTGCAATGTTTAGCTTATTTTCTGTATGCAAATAATACAATGTGCTTAAAGTAACATGGAGTGTTGTATGTATTTATCAATGTTTTAAACTCTCAAATATCTTGGCAAATTAAATTCTTTTATAAATGGCTTAACTAATGTTTTATTGATTTGATTATGTTCATCGATGTTCATTTTAAAATCACAATCAAACCAACCTCCAAAACAAGAAAGAAAAATTAAGTAGACAGATCCAAACACGAACGTATCGAGTAATTATCACTTCCACAAGCAAACACGAAAATCATAAAAAAAATACTTCTGTGAAAAGTGAAAGAACATGGCACACTGGAGTTACGAGATAGGCAATGGATGGTTGAATGATAAGACAGTGGTGGGGTCATGGTGAAATCTCCTGTCAGACGAGCATAGACCCCCCCTCTCCAGGGGCAGATCCAAGGTACAAGATAAAATTTATTGTCTCCAGTTAAAATAAACAAAAAAATTACAAAGCTCGCAAAAAGAACAATTCCAAGAAAATCACATAAAAATAGGTCAAGGTCAAACATCAAAATTCTATCAAAAAGTACAGAAAATCTAAAATTAGAAGGCCTACAATAATAAAATAATTTAAAAAGTTAGAAGAGAACAAAACAGGGTTACATATTTTATTAGGTATTCTTATGTGCCCCCCCCCCCACATTTTGCCAATAAATTTTAAAAATTTAATTGCAAATCAATGTTATGTGCTTCTCAATTACCTATTCTGAACCTGTTGTGCCCCCCGCCCCCATTTGAAAAATTCTTGGTCCGCCCCTGCTGTCGTTAATAAGCCACTTGTGTTTGGCAGAATATTATTGGCTGATCCAAAATACCGACTGTAGTTATTGTGTGAAAGTTTAAAAGTAAAATCACAAATAATTTCCATTCTACACAGAGAAATTGCTGTCTCTTATACACATCTCCAGCCGTTTAGATCAGTTATGCCCTCAACACTGGCATTTTGGATGTTGCACACCACTTGTGAGCAAATGGAGTTAAACTTTGACTCTGTCTTTCCTGATATTTGTGAATTCTAACACCTAGACCTAAACTTTTTGTTATGTAAGGAACAGGAGTTAACAGGTAATAAGTACACTTACATTAATTAAAATCGAAAGGAAAATAAGGACGGTAAGTAAACAATTAACTAATCAACATATTTGTAATAATCCTTATGCTGGCGTGAAAGCTTTCTATTTAATTTCAATATGGTTATGTAATTGAAGATAATGTATTCTACCACTGCATTACAATTCTAGAAAATACCATTCATAATTATGATACAACTTTTACTTTGATAGAACTTGAAGAAATGGCAATAGCCTCCATGTGCCTTGCCCTCAAGTCTTCCGACAGATATCAAGCACGTCACATCATCCCATATGCTTGTGAATGCATTCAGGGTGGGTACTTTAAATCAAAAGCAATTGCCAAAGCAGAGGCTAAAATACTGAAGATTCTCAATTTTAAGCTTAATACAGTAACCTGCTTAGATTTTATACATGTACAATGCGACGTAGCAATCTGTAAAACTGATATTATATGGGATAAAATGAGAATAGATTTAATAAGACGCAAGGCTATGAGAAACTTGGTCGATCACTACCAGCCGTTTAGATCAGTTATGCCCTCAACACTGGCATTTTGGATGTTGCACACCACTTGTGAGCAAATGGAGTTAAACTTTGACTCTGTCTTTCCTGATATTTGTGAATTCTAACACCTAGACCTAAACTTTTTGTTATGTAAGGAACAGGAGTTAACAGGTAATAAGTACACTTACATTAATTAAAATCGAAAGGAAAATAAGGACGGTAAGTGAACAATTAACTAATCAACATATTTGTAATAATCCTTGTGCTGGCGTGAAAGCTTTCTATTTAATTTCAACAATGCTACAGTACTCTCTTATAATAATAATTATTATTTTAGCGGCATATTTTTGTTGCATTCAGGTAAAGTATAAACACTCCCAAACAGAAGCTCCCTGTGTGACGTGTGTATGTGTGTGTGATGAAACTTGCAGCGTGCATTGGCATTTTATACTCTGAGACCGGAACGTACGTAAACTACTTTGACTAAGAGACAACAAAATAGCCAAATATTAGGTTTTTGTGAACTTACCGTAGTAATCGTTTAGATTTTAAATATCAACTATGACTTCATAAAAAAAAATACAACTTCCTGAAATTTCGTTAAATTGGATATGAATGATTAGGAATAGTAGCTAGTTAACAAAAAATAAAGAAATAAATAGGCCTAAATAAAATAATAATAATAAATGAAAAACGAAAAAAAAAAAAGTAATTTTCATAAACATAGATACAGTGTGTCTAACATTTGTAGTTCTAACAAATAATATTTTGAAACTTAAAAAGTTCTTTCGGGGACAGTCGAGGGTCCTTGCTTAACACTATTTCCCGGTCATCGGCAGCTATTAGATAATACAGTAATTTTTGATATAGTATATTAATGATAATCATCAATAATAGTAAATATGATAATTGCAATAATTTGTAAAACTTATTGTACAATTTAATATTGAGTACCATGCGCAACAAAATAAGATTATAAGTACGATCTTGCTATAAAAACAAAAACAAAAAAACCCTTATCTAAAATATAAAGAAAAAAAAATAATACTGGCCATAAGGCATTCATAAATGTAAAAAAGACTGATTATTTATATGTATTATATACAATATAGGCTTGAATTAATTTATTATTTTAGAACTAATAAATAGTGATAACATATAATAATAAAAATTATATTATGATAATACATAATATAATATATAATAATTACAACGATAACATATAGTAATATAATATTATTATTATTATTATTATTATTATTATTATTAAGGCCATTCTAGTAATAATAATCATAAATATCACTGTAGAAATTTAAACTTCCTAATATTAAATTGTATTTATTCTATTATAAGACACTTAACCTAATGAATCAAAACAATATAAAAATAGGCTGTAAAATAGGAAAACAAAATAATTCCAGTCTGAAGTCGGCGATGCTACCTCAACGTGGTGGACTGGTGTCAACATCATTTGGTAACCATGTTACCATCATGGTACCAATGATGGCTAACAGCATCACGCTTTAACAAACTTAGGTCCCACATCATCACCACCACCATCATCATCATCATCAATGCTGCAAGATCTTGGATGCGACCTGGATATGCGTAAGGAAAATAAAAAAAAAAATCTTGGTTCTAAAGAAAAAAAAATTTCTTGCGATACCCGATAATTAATTATGACATTTTACTACTTGTTTCGTTGTATCAGTTATTTTACTTTTAATACCATCATTTTCTAATGAATTTAGAAGAAGTTTGTGGTCAGTCAAGTCGATGCATTTAGAATTTCAATAAAACAAAATCGAATCAGGTCATAGACGTGTAGATTTTTATTCAATCATTTATATCGCAAAGGCATGTGACGATGAAGGGAATTTTTTAAAGCACTACAGTAGTTTATTTTATAAAACAATTTGGGAAATATAGTGTACCACAAGGGCATGTTATAGTGGCGTAACGACGAGTCACTGGGTCGAGAAAGTGGTTGAGAGGCGAACCCCATAGTACTGTAGTCAATTTTTAGGGTCCTCTTCACAATGGAATATTAAACAATAAACCAGAACTGTAGCCAGGTTCTTCAGTTTTCCAAATGAGGGTTCTCTGGGGTTCGGGGGCGAAGCCTCAGTGGGGTCAACAAAACCCCCGAAGCCAGAGGATTTTTGTGTTTTATGGGTATAAAATAATGCTATAAAAGCCGCAGTTTTTTGAAAAAAGGTCTGCAACAAAAATTCCGTCTGGGTGGGTCTACTTCTACGAGTCTGATACGTGTAGCGTGTTTTGTTGCTAATTGAATTAACATTTTTTGTGAATTCTAGTTTAACTTCATTATTTCAGAACACAGTATAAGTTCAGTTTGTAGAACCCCGGGTGGAACGTTGGCTCGGGAGTTGACATTGCGAGTCCACTTGGGACATTCGTGATTCTAGTTGACAAGGTGATTACATTGTTTTGATTTAGTTTTTGGGTGGAGTTAGAAGAGTGCTATTTATTAGTAGGCGGTTAAGCTGGCCCCCTTTGAACTTGGGGCATTGGAAGTTCCATGCTTCTGTTTGACGGGGGAACAAGTTAGTAATTTGTACTTGGAAAATCAACAATAATAACATTAAATAGGCCTACATTGGTTTACTTATTAAAAAGGACCAAGAAAAAATGGTTTGTAACTCAACGGTTGTCAAATAATAAGACAGTGGTGGGGTCATGGTGAAATCTCCTGTCATACGAGCATAGACCCCCCCTGTCCAGGGGCAGATCCAAGACACAAGATAAAATTTATTGTCTCCAGTTAAAATAAACAAAAAAATTACAAAGCTCGCAAAAAGAACAATTCCAAGAAAATCACATAAAAATAGGTCAAGGTCACAAACATCAAAATTCTATCAAAAAGCACAGAAAAATCTACAATTAGAAAGCCTACAATATTTAAGATAATGAAAAAAGTTAGAAGAGAACAAAACAGGGTTACATATTTTATTAGGTATTCTTATGTGCCCCCCCCCCCCATTTTGCCAATAAATTTTAAAAATTTCATTGCAAATCAATGTTATGTGCTTCTCACTTACCTATTCTGAACCTGTTGTGCCCCCCCCGCCCCCGTTTGAAAAATTCTTGGTCCGCCCCTGCTGTCGTTAATAAGCCACTTGTGTTTGGCAGAATATTATTGGCTGATCCAAAATACCGACTGTAGTTATTGTGTGAAAGTTCAAAAGTAAAATCACAAATAATTTCCATTCTACACAGAGAAATTGGGAGAAAAGTTTTGGGCCTAGGTCCATACATGTTAGTGTCGATTTCAGATTCTCTGTGAGTTAATAGGCCTTTACTTCATTATTTCGGAGTATTTAAATTTAGTTTGTAGAGGAGCCCGACTGGGAAACATTATTTGGGTTGTGAATTGATAATTGCAAAAAGAAGTGTTGTCATTCATGCGAGTCTACTTGGGACATTCGTGAGTTAAAAATGTGGTAGACCTTACCCTATTACATTGTTATTAAACTTGCTAGCTTTGGTTGTCTTCTACTTAAGACCATAAAGTGAAGAATAATGTTAGATGATTGCAGGTGAGTCCCTCGGCCCCGATCCCCCAGGGAC